CCTTAGCTTTGAAACTCTCACAGGAGTCCAGAGGCAAAGATTAGAAACAGCAACAAAGAGGGGCTAATTATAGTGGGTTTATGTCAATCAACTGTCAGGTACCGCCTGGAGTACAAAAAACATTACAGACAAATAATTAACGTACACCCCCTATAATTGTCTCCTAGCCTCCTTTTCTAATTGCTGTTTCGTACCCCAGACGACACATGACAGTTAATTAGCGTGCTAGTTCGACCATCGACTTCGATGATGTCCACCATGTGCTCAAGACGGTGACCGGAGACAAAGACGAGATTTTAGTGAAATAGACGCGTGATTGTCTACCTCACTCTAACCCTCCTCTGCTCGAACCGGTGACAAGACCAAAGTCAAGATGACCGAACAGGAATCGGGCGTAAGCCACTTTCTCCAAAGCAGCCAGAAACACCACCTAACCTAGTCTTTAGTGACAGTAGACTTTGTGCGGGCACTTCTGCCCTGTCTACCCTCACTCACCTACAGTAGGTGTCCAGCCAGATTCTAGGAAGCCAGGGCTGCTACTGCTACTACCGCTACTGCCATTTTTAAACTACTAACTAGGGTGTAGGTGAGTGATAGTATTTGCTGGCACCATTTCTGAATTGTTAGTCAGAATTGACGCTGATTAAAGTCAGCACTGGGCCCATATCCCCTAACACGCCGGGACTTATACCCCCCGTGATCACGAGTATGAATCTGAGTTTAAACTATTTCGAGTAAGTACATGTTTGGGTCCCTGAGTACAACAGAGCTTGCCTTGGTTTCCACCTTCTCAACTCCATCCATTAGGCAGTGTCCGTTTCTACTCGGTTCGGACTACGATACTTCTGCTAGAAGTACGTGCCTATACTAAAGTGCTAATTACAGTAATCATTCTTACTAAGGCCAGCAAATAGTATATTGTTAATACGGCTTATGTGTGCTTTTTTAGAATTCGACACCCAGTATGCACTCCCAAACTGGATGAGGTAATTAGCTTATGGGTTAAGCAAAGTGTTATTAAATAATAACACAAGTCCTATCATGCCTTTATGTCGTAGTTTGCTGTCTTTAGACTACATATAGGCGTACTACAGTATCTATCCGTAGCTTGGACTTAACAGAACGTCTACTCATATCCCCTCAATCCCAGCAAGGATTGTGAATGTATGGTTTAGGCTATCCCGAGTAAATAAATGATTGAGGCCTGGAGCACATTAGGGCTTTCCTAGGTTTCCGCTCTGTCACCTCTATCTACCAAAAGCTGTGTCACATTTTACGAAGTTTGGGCTAGGAGGAGAGAATCAGGAAAACGAGACAAAATGAAAACAAAAAACAAATATATTTACAACAGTTTTTTCTCTGGAAAAAAAGAGGCTTAAGAAAGTTTTCGGAAATTGCGGAGCACCGGATAGACCTTAGTAAATGCCTCATAGATCAACTCGACGGATTTGGCACCTGAAAGAGACGGGGAGAACGAAGGTATGAAATAACGGTCTTTGAAAGGCGCGCATGCAGACAGCACATCCACCAGAGCGAAATGGCACGAGCCATAGCTTACCTGTAATTACGACCTTGCCATTTACAAAAATAATGAAGACGATTTTCGGATTGACAATCCGATAGACCAGTCCAGGAAAGATTTCGGGTTCGTATCTAGCAGAAAGAAAAAAAACAAGTTAAAATGGAGCCCGGATGAACTACTGCAAGAGGTGCACTGACAACTTGACCCACAAGATCTGCGAATATAGCTCGAGACAAACAAGAAAAAATTAAGCGGCCTCACTTAAATCTTTAAAAAAAGAAGGTACGGTGACAGAAAATGAACTCCAACCAATCCATGGGAGCATAGAAAGTTTCCAATGCGACCGAACATGCTGGCCCCAGGAAGCAATTGAGAAGATGTGATCGCTGGGACAAGAATTTTATTTGCCTTACGTTTCGAAATCTGTCGCGGACCCTTCATCAGACATACTAGCAGAAAAGAGTAATTGATGCACAGGGAGCTGCAGTATTTAAAGAACACAGTCAGTATGATACTGCATATATATGACAATTAACGACTCCCCTATCGAGAATAATTGCCTGTTTGTGTGCTTATTGCTTGATAAACGGCGTGCGGGCTGTGACCTGCTGAACTTTCCCTACTTGCGGTGGAACTGGACGTGATGATGGCTCAGCCATCTGGTTACCTAGTGTTGGCCTGTGCGTTCCCCAAGTGGTGACTTGCTTCGGCCTAATTGAGCTTCAGTAGAGAATATGGATTGAGCGGGTCGTTGCACTTGTTTATAGGTCGGCGGCCCGTGGAATATGACTCAAGTAACTAGCGACTCGCACGATTGTCACCTCTTGCAAGAATGTCGGCCGTCGAATGAGCCGCAACTTGAGAATTAGCGTCATTTCTCCGCACCGGTGTCGTGTGTTCGGCAATTCGCTTCTTAAAAAGTCTTCCAGTTTCTCCGACAGAGTTGCTTTGTACGCGACTGCATCAGATTCTATAGACGACGTTAGGTGTTTTTACCGTGCCAGTGGCTACGGAGTTCGAAACGTCTTATCCTATCGATCACATTTTCTTTTCAACATGGAAAGTTTCCATCCTTACACCCTCGTGCTCCCCGTGGCCTGTAGCGTCTATACTGACTCAACAGACGGCAATACTGAAATACTTGGTTCTACCTCGATTTTGCAACAAAAGGACGACGGTCCTTCTGTTGTGAGAAAAACCTCACAAATTGAACTGCAAGCGGCTGAATTTTTAGAATGAAGCAAGAAAGGCGTGTCCAAAAATCACTAAAGATAAACAGGTTTTGCAAAAAACAGGTTTAACCCCTGGTCAAATGAGGCGATACTGTGTGTAAGAGCACTGCGAAGTAATTGTGGATTGAAAAAACTACAAGAAAAACATGAAGCGGCCTCGACTTTATCGTAAACATCGTGAAACATTAACAGCAAAAAGGAACGGTTACTAGCCAAACACAATACGATGGACTGCTTTCTGTGCAAACCAGTTAGACCATTCGGAAATGTAGTCAGTTGTCCAGACCATATTTTCGATATAGCAATACGATATAAACGATCATATTGACCTACATGTATTGAAACTGGCTTTATGTGATAAACGCTTACGCGACCCCGGCTAAAACAAGGGAATACTTGTCAGTTATATGAATCCAGATTGGGTTTGAATCGTTATGCATCGCGGCGGCATATTATCCCATAGGCTATAGTGCAGGAGTTAATTTGTTTAAGGAAGGGGGCCAAGATTTACGTGTCGTATTTGAGACGCGTAAATAATTTGTCCTTAAGTATTTACGAGCTATGGATATGGCCTACTAATGCAGACTTCTTCTTCTACAGGGGAGGTTGACGGAAGCAGCAAACTTCTTCGATGAATTGACCGCTGATAAACATTCGTTGTACGGTGCCAAGATACATAGTCAGAGACTTTACCTTGCGTATATTAATCGTAAGACCAACAGCTACATCGAAACTGATGATCTGGTTTAGCGTTGGCTGTAGTCACCGAGGGTTTTACCGAGTATGACAATGTCATCGGCATATTTCCGGCCAGGTACTGTGAATTTAGGGCTCATTTTACATCCAATAGCAGGTAGAATTGATTGATGCATCACCCAGTCAATCAAGAAGTTGAAGAGATTTGGAGAAAGAGGGCATCCCTCTCGAACTCTAGAAGTCAGTGGGAATGAATCTGACTCTTCACCAAGGACTCTTACTCGGGCTAACGTTCCGCTATAGTAGACTTTGCTCAGATTGAGCAAATCTATCTAGGATCCGCCAGCAAGCAAGATTTTTCATAAGGCGGTCATGGAGTCAATGAAACAGACCGTAGTGCTCTGGTGATTTTGGTGTCGGTGTTCCAGTATGCAGGGCAAAACGAAGGTCTGGTCAACACATCTTCTACGTGGACGAAACCCTTCTTGGTTAAGACGAGTTCGTAAATCATGCTCAATCACAAATCTATTGAAGTTGGGTACAAGGTATTAAACGGTTTCCGTTGTATCACCACATCTAGGTGTGACAGGTAAATGAGTGACTGATTTAATAAAATTTTAACTGCATTTCTGAAGTGCGTCTACGCGCAGGAAAGAGTGGGGTGAGTGGGAGTGTAATATCTCTGGGTATAAAATCTGAAGAATGCATGTTTTTCTGCCGACTGAGTACAGTAGTGTTTTGGCTTACATGTTTTGTAAAATAAATTCTAATTTCTAAGAATATCAACAGTCAACAGAAAAAAATGCATACTACTCAATTATTTATTTGAGAGTGGTTCCTGCAGGCGGCCTAAGAAACACGCACTCCAAAATCCGGAAACCTAACATGTTCAAAGTAACTGGACATAAGAGCGAACAAAAATTAGTACTACAACTTTACTTAAGTAATCCGTTCCGACAAAAAAAAACATTTCAGA